CCTTCCTTCCTTCCTTCCTTCCTTCCTTCCTTCCTTCCTTCCTTCCTTCCTTATTTTTTTTTTTTAAATTTGTTTTTCGAGATAGAGTCTCACTTTGTCATTCAGGCTGGAGCACAGTGGCATGGTATCAGCTCACTTCAACCTCCACCTCCCAGGTTCAAGCGATTCTCCTGCCTCACCCTCCTGAGTAGCTGTGATTACAGGCACCCGGCACCACACCCAGCTAATTTTTGTATTTTTAATAGAGATAGGTTTTTACTGTGTTGGCCAGGCTGATCTTGAACTCCTGACCTCAGGTGATCTGCTCGCCTCAGCCTCCCAAAGTTCTGGGATTATAGGCATGAGCCACTGCGCCCAGCCACTTGTGTCTATTTCTTAAAATGGTACTTAAGAAATCATACATTTTTATAACTACCAGTGTAGAGTGCAGGACATAAACTGGAACAATTGACTTTGAAGGTTAGTAAAGACGCTGGAGATCACTTAAGAAAAAAGGAGATAAATAACAGACTTGGTTGGAATCCCAGCTACACTATTAGCAAGCTTCACCACCATAGGAGCAGTTGGCTTAAATTCTGAGCCAATGCTGCTGCTTGTGTGAAAGGGAATCATAACTACCACCAGAGGTTTTATAAGGATCAAATATAATATGGAACTGGACAGTGTCTCATGCCTGTAATCCCAGCACTTTGCAAGGCTGAGCTAGGCAGATTGCTTGAGCCCAAGAGTTTAAGACCAGCCTGGGCAACATGGCAAAACACTGTCCCTCCAAAAAATATAAAAATCAGATGGATGCTGTGGTGTACACCTGTAGTCCCAGCTACTCCTCAGGAGGGTGAGGTGAACCACTTGAGCCCAGGAGGCGGAGGTTGCAGTGAGCTGGGATTGTGCCACTGCACTCCAACCTCGGCAACAGAGCGAGACTCCATCTCAAAGAAAAAAGAAAAAGAGACAAGATAGTATGATTTCTTAAGTACCATTTTAAGAAATAGAGACACAGTAGAAGAAAATATCTAATTTGACTCTTCTCTTTCTCTCCCTCACACCCACACTAATTGCCTACTGCATGCTAGGTTTATCCTAGGCATTTGTAAATGAGATAGTGTGTCACCTCATAGAAAGAGCAAGATCTGATAGCGTGAAAGAGCTTTTGGGTATGTTTGTTGGGGGAATGTAGTGGCATGTTATCAAGTACAAACAAGAACTTATACGGAGCTGACAGAAGGATTGCCTATGTTCTTTCAGTGGAAGGGGTTGTAACAGTTGTTTGTTAGTTCCCTGCCTTATCCTTGGAACGAACCTTACCATTTCCTTGAACTCTGGCTGACCAGTATTTGGATGCTGGGGCCTGAAGGCTTTGTCCAGAACCCTGGAAGGCCTTGGCATTTGTAGGGCCCTCTAGAAGTGACTTGGGAATTAACAGCTGCCTGCTCCCTCTCCAGAAGTCCTCAAACAGTGACTGATGAGAGATGAGATGGTATATAAATACAGTCACTCCCTCACCTTTCTAGGTTTTATATTGTTTCCCAGAGATAACCTTGGGATTAAACTCCATTATGCACTCACAAATGACTTGGGAATTAACAGCTGCCTGCCCCCTGTCCAGAAGTCCTCAAACAATGACTGATGAGAGATGAGATGGTATATAAATACAGTAGCTCTCTCACCTCTGTAGGTTTTAGATTGTTTCCCAGAGATAATCTTGGGATTAAACTCCATTTAACTACTTTCATAGTAGTTACCATAGACTGTTTAGTCTGTCTGCTCTTTTACTTTCTCACTTTCTCTGTGACTTGTATTTGACTCTTGGTCTGTCTCAAGATCTGCCTCCCAGGGAGCCGAGATTAAGATAAAATCATTTCTGTTCTGGGAGATTTAATTTATCCTTAGTTTTTCTTCTATAGTTGTCATCAGAGAAACAGAGAAGGGAATTAATACACATCTTTTTAAAACTATGATTTTGATATTCACTGAGACCACTTCGGGTTTCTAAGAACATTTGATTAAGGATAAGAGCAAATACAAATATATTTCAGTGTACTTTCCACTATTTTATATACATTAATTGTTCCATTCACTTTCAGGGCAGATTAGAACACTGTTAGTTAGAAGAATCATTATTGACACATGTGGAAGCATAGATTCCCTCTGCCTTGCCACTTGTGATAGGAAAATATTTGTTAAATCATCAAGCGAATGAACTGTTTGTGTTTTGAAAGTAAGGGGAAGAGTAGTAAGAGAGCTTACTTACTATAGGTAAAAGAAGAATGCATTTAAAAATTTATCTTAGGGCCGGGTACGGTGGTTTACTCCTGTAATCCCAGCACTTTGGGAGGCTGAGGTGGGTGGATCACCTGAGGTCAGGAGTTTGAGACCAGCCTGGCCAATGTGGTAAAACCCTGTCTCTACTAAAAAAATATAAGAAAATTAGCCTGGCACGGTGGCACACACCTGTAATCCCAATTACTTGAGAAGCTGAGGCAGGGGAATTGCTTGAACCCGTGAGGCAGAGGTTGCACTGCGCAGACATCGCGTCATTGCACTCCAGCTGGGCAACAAGTGCAAGACTCCATCTCAAAAAAAAAAAAAAAAATTATTTTAATGAGTAGGACATTGGCATGTCAGTAGAATGTCTTAAAACTGCTTATCAAAAACTTTATTGTCATAAAATTAAATGCATGGGTTCTCTGAAAGAACTTGTGAATTTAAATTTTTAAACTGTGCATGTGCAGCTTTCCATGTAGAGAATAAAAATATTGTTAACAGCATTTCAAAACTTTATTTTAAACTTCAGATATTTGTTGACTAATGCTTATGGTGCCTAAAACAGATTTTTTTGTACATGGTAAATACTTGATAAATACTTTTTATAAAATAAATGAACACTTTATTTCGGAAAAAGGAATGTTTCATTCAATTCAGTATATGTTATTCAGTAATTCAATGACTATGTATTTACCTAAATAATGACTTGTTTTTGGCACTGACTTTGCACTGGGGATCTCCAGTTAATAAGACGATTAACTGTTCATATACTTCACTGAGTACTTGAGAGAATATTCCCTAGAAAGATAGGCATTAAAAATGTAAATGCAGATGTGAGGAGGTTTTTGAAAGTGCAAGGGACTGTGACAACATACAGTAAAGGGATTTATAACTCACTTATTGTTTTGAAGATTTAGAGTATGTCTACTACTGTTTGAGGAACTGAAATGCAAGGGTTATGCTTTAAAAGTAGTGTTTTTTAATCTGGTATTCCACAGCATTTTTTTTTTTTTCTTGTGATGGTGTTATGCTGTGTTGCCCAGGCTGGTCTCAAACTCTTTAGCTCAAGCAATCCTCCTACCTCAAGCTTCCAAGTAGCTGGGATTACAGGCGTGTGTGACTATTCACAACTATTTTTACTGACTCATATGACGTGTTTTCTGAGGGTTTTTATACTTTCACATATACTTCTTTCCTTGTTTGATTACCATGTTGTCTGTTATTTCATTAGGAAATAATTACATATATGAAATATATAAATAATTATATATGTATATATCTAGTGTAGATGTAACAGGCTGGGCGCAGTGGCTCACGCCTGTAATTCCAGCACTTTTGGAAGCCTAGGTGGGTGGATTGCTTGAGTCCGGGAGTTCAAGACTAGCCTGGGCAACGTGGTGAAACCCTGTCTCTATTAAAAATACAAAAAACTAGCTAGTCATGGTAGGACTAGCTGGGTAATTCCAGTTGCTTGGGAGGCTGAGGTGGGAGAATCATCTGAGCCCGGGAGGTCGAAGCTGCAGTGAGCCAAGATCATGCCACCGTACTCCAACCTGAGCAACAGGAATAAGACCCTATCTCAAAAGAAAAAAAAAATATATCTGTATAGATCTATGTAGATCTATATAAATATAGATTAGATAGATGTAGCAAACTTCTTTATATTATATAAATCTAGGCTTCACTCTTCAACTAAATTATTGCCTCTTCTAAAATTTATTTTTGTGTCACTAATATCTAGTTCAGTGCCTTACATAGAGTAGGCACTTGTTAAATGTTTGTTGAATAAATAATATTTGCTGGTGGAATTGAGCACTCTTAAATACTTTGAATTTCTGAAACTGTTTAGAACCACTCAAAATTAAACTTGGTATCAGCATACTTACTAAGTACAGCTAGCTCTTTATCTTAATTTTGAGATCCTAATCTTGGTGATTGTGAAAGGGAGAACAAAAGTAAACTTATTGGCATTTTAGTAGGTATGTGTTTAGTTTGCATACCCATAGTAAGATAAGCGGTCTAATGAATTTGACTAGGCCTAACTATTCTGCCAGCTCTAATTTGCATTTATACATACAGGTACTTATCCTAAATTACCATATTTCTGAATGGCCCACGTTATTTTAAAATATATAATCTTGATTTTTAAACTTTTATTTTGAATAAGCAGGATTGCTTCATGGTGGAAGGAGAGGATTTGAGACATGATTTTGAGCGCCTACAACTTGCCATGGAAATGGTAGGATTTCTTCCCAAGACACGAAGACAGTGAGTTTACTTGTTGTATTTTTATACCTCCAATAGAGAACACATGATATGTCTTTGAAAGATTTCTCCTGTTGGTCTTTTAAAATAGTTTTCTAAGTGGTAATCCTCATCTAGTACCTCATCCATCTCGAGCATTATTTCTAATTCCTTTTTTTGTCATAAATTCTTTTGAGAATATGATGAAAGCTGACACTGTTGTTGTTGTAAAATGTACATCTTTAACAATTTGCATATAAATGCAGGAATTTATGGTGCCCCTGAAGCCTATCCATAGATGTTACGCAAAACTTTTGCTTTGTAACACTATTTTTATAGCTCTTCATTTTTTGTATATCAGTGATCTCTAATCTTATTAAATTATGCATACTTATCAGAGGCATAGTATTTAATTATCAGTGTATTTCCTCTGTATAGTTTATATCTTTACCATTCTAATAAGTTTTTAAATTGTAAATCTAAACAAATTAAAAATATAAAAAGGTTGAGATAAAGATGAGATAAATTATATTTGAAACAAATTATTTAAAATTAAAGACTCAACCTTGGCTCTCACCAGAAAAAAATAGTTACTTATAACTTTTTTGAGGGGGAGAGTTGTGTTGATGAGTATATCAGATCTGATTATATTGTTAAAAAATTTTTTTTTTTTTTTTTTTTTTTTTGAGACAGGGTCTCACTCTGTCACCTACGCTGGAGTGCTCACTGCAGCCTCAACCTCCCCAGGCTCAGATGATTTTCCCACCTCAACTTCCCAAGAAGTTGGGACTGCAGACTTATACCATCACACTTAGCTAATTTTGTATTTTTTGTGCCATGTTGCCTACGCTGATCTTGCATTCCTGGGCTCAAGTGATCTACCTTTCTCAACCTCTCACAGTGCTAGGATTACCAGCAGGAGCCACTGCACCCGACCTCTGTTATTAATTTTTAACCTCATGATTGATGACCCTATACTGAGAGTAGGAGAAAATCACCTCTGCTGTTTTCTTGTTTGCTTGCGCTTACATCATTGGTATGACTCTTTAATTAGCAGGCTATTTGCTAGAATCTTTTTATGAGAAGTCAATTAAAATCAAATAATACAATATGTAAGTTGGCATACCAACTCAATTGGTGACATAAACTACAGTTCACTGAAAATTAGTGAATTTCTATTAAAAATAATTTTTAAAAGAAGCTCATGAATTTGTTTTTGTCTTTTGACTTCCATTAGTTATGTTTCGGTTGATAGTTTATTCTTTAATCCAGAATAACATTATGCATTATTTTTTTAATAGACTTGTATTTACTGTGAGTCATGTGAATGATTCAAAGATTTTAAAACTTTAAATTATTTGAAAAATTAGATTTATAAATTAGATGGTGATTCAGTACCTCTCAAATGTTGCTAAGGTAATATCTCAGGTTCCTAAAGCAATATCTTTGTTTTAGTTGGAATAGTTCGTAATTTTAGGAAAACATAGTGTTAAATTTTCGTAAGACAAATTTTGTAAGCCATATTTATTCTAAGAAAATAACTGCATGTGACACAAAGCTGTATGTATAAGGAGACTGAGGAGTTTTTCAGTGGAGTGTTTAGCTGTGTTAAATGCCTCTGAGATGTCAGATAAGTTAAGAACATAATATACTGTTCTTAGCTACATGGAGATGCTTGGTAACCTAAGGTTCCTGAATTAACAGGAGTTGATGGGATATATAGCATAAGAGGAGAAATTAGTTGTTGATTGGAGGGCACGTGCTCTTCTGACTCAGGAGGGAAATTTAGAACGGAGGGTCCATATGAAGTTGTTTCACAGTAGAGGTTAATATACCCCACATTGCTTCATACTTAACACACACACACACACACACACACACACACACACACACACCCCCACAAAAAACCGTTTACCCCAAACACCGTAATGTGGTATAGGAAAGCATTTTAACGACATAACTAAGAATAAAAAATCAGCTAGGATACTTGATTAAAAAAAAATACAGATTCAAGGCCTTTCCTTTGGCAATTCTGATTCAGTGTATCTGAAACAGTATAGGAAAAAAGCATTCCAGGTAGGATAAATAGCATTTAGAAAGGCATGGCCTTTTAAAACACTGTGACAAATTCAGGCAATAGCAGAAGTCTCTTTGAAATAACTATATAAGAAGTGGTGTAATACTTAAGGCCATGAAAAGCATTTTAAACAGTATGTGATACATAGTAAACCCTCAGTAAATTTTAGTAATTATTCCCATATTGCTTATTTTCCAAAGACTAGATACTTCATATTTGTACTGGTTGGTTTGCTTAACTAGAATTTTAGAATGAAACCATCTTTGGGAATGGATACAACTAAGCTATAATTTGTGTTTTGTTTTCCCAGGATTTTCTCTCTTCTCTCAGCCATACTACATTTGGGTAATATCTGTTATAAAAAGAAGACATACCGGGATGACTCCATTGATATCTGTAATCCTGAAGTTCTGCCTATTGTCTCAGAATTATTAGAAGTGAGTGATTACATTCTCAGTTGTCATTTCAAATACTTTGTAACTTTTTATTTTTTATTTTGTGTATTTTGTAAGTGTAAATGGGTTAATGCTTTCTATTAATAATGTTTTTATTAGGCACTATTTTTAAATAGCATTTCCAAAAGATGGAATTTTTCCTGATACCTGCCTCAGTTTGCTATTGAGTGAGGCAGAATCTTTAGAAGATTTGTGTTTTCTCCTTTGCCTCCACTTGCTTCAGACATCCATAGTCCCTAAATTTGCTGGATAGGATGAATATTTCCACGCTAGACTGTATAATGTTCTGGGGCTATGCTAATTTTTCTCTTTTCATATTTGAGATTTCGTCTCATACTAAGATTTTGGTTAGATTATTTTGTTTCAAGATGGGGGCATCTGGGTGAGTGGAGAAAAAAGGATACTACTTTTTTTTTTTCCTTATGGGTTGAATAGGACCTAAAGGTTCTCATCTCCTACCATGCTTCTTCTTACATCAAGGGCCTTTATTACCTGATTCTTTCTTTCTGGAGTGATGATTTATCATATATTCTTAACTTCTCTCTTGCCTACCTCCTTCTCATCTTGCCAGATTTATCCCATCAGATGGGGTGTCATTTCTTACAGGCCCTATTGTCTGGCATAGCAAGGAAATATATGTATGTATATACTAACCTGTGTATATACACATATCTATACATATTTTAATATGTAATCATCTGTATAGGTAAACATGAGTTCATGATGATGTCTCCAACTGTAATCCATCTACACATGGATCATTCTGGCCCTCTTCCCTTGCTTATCTGTGAACTCCTGCTTCAACAGTGAGAAAGCTGTCTTCTATCCTCTGCCATCCATTTACTTGTTTAATTCCAGTATACATGTGTAGTGGTATCAAAATTGTTAACCTGTACCCCCCTGGGAAATGACTTTTTCAACTAGAATACAGTGCTTATGCGCAATTCCTTTTACCTTTAATCCTACAGACTTCACTCATTTCCAAAATTACTTAGAACAGCACCTTTTCCTTCCACCCCATTTGTTGAGGTTTCATATACTTGTCATGCATGCTGTTTTCTTGTCATAGTCTATATTCCTTCGTGGAATCCCCCAATTTCATAAATAATTTTTGATATTTGCATATGTTAAGTTCCACTCTTCATGCTATTTGGGTTTTGACAGATGCAGGAAGTCGTGTGTCCACTATTATAGTATCATACAGAATAGTTTCACTGCCATAAAAATTCCCTGTGCTTTACCTGTTCAATCCCTCCCCCTAAACTGCTGGCAGCCACTGACCTTTTTTACTACATATATATATTTTTGCCCTTTCCAGGATGTAATATAATTGAATCATGCAATATGTAGATTTTTCAGACTGCTTTGTTTCACTTAGTAATACGCACTTAAGATTTATTTATGTCTGGCTGGGTGTGGTGGCTCATGCCTGCAATCCCAGCACATTGAGAGGCTGAGGCAGGTGAGTTGCTTGAACCCTAGGAGTTCAAGACCAGCCTGGGCAGCATAAGGAGACCCCATCTCTACTAAAAACAACAACAAGAAAACAAAAAAAGCACAAAAATTAGCTGGGCATGGTGACATGTACCTGTATACCCAGCTGCTTGGTAGGCTGAGGTGGGAGGCTTGAACCCCAGAGGCGGAGGTTGCAGTGAGCTTAGATTGCGCCACTACACTCCAGCCTGGGTAACAGAGCGAGACCCTGTCTCAAGAAACAAAAAAAAAAGATTCGTTCATGTCTTTCTGTGGCTTGATAGCTCATTTCTTTTTATCATGGGGTAATATTCCATTGTATAGATGTACTATAGTTTATTCATTTATCTGTTGAAGGACATTTTGGTTGTTTCCAGTTTTTGGCAGTTATGAATAGCTTGTTTTTGAAAAAAAAAATTATTCATCTTCCAAATCTTGGTTCCTAGGCCGCTTCATGTGGTTTAACCTTAAGTGGTCTAAACTGACTCCCTAAATACAGAGCATTTGTTTCTGCTTAGCATAATTTAGTTTTATAGCATAAAGTTAATTGTTTATTAGTTCATGTCTAAGGTTGCAGTGCTCTTTGAGAGCAGTGGATACCTCTTTCTTATTTGTCTAACCACCCAGTGTTTATTTTTTCTGTACATTGGGCATTGCTTGTTAACTTCAGTGGAATGATAACCTAGCAGAGGAAGAGGCAGGAGAAGGGAGTACTGTGAATTGGAACTAGACCTACTGGAAAGAAATTCTACCAGGAGATGGAGTGTGGTATCTGAAGTTTGTAATTTTGAAGATCATAAAGGCCAGAGAACAGATGGCGTTTTAGTCAGGTATTTCAGGTGATACTGTAGTCAAGGGTTTGGTATTGTGACAGGGCATTGTGGCTACTTGTAAGTCTAGGCAGTTCAGCAGAAACCAGGGCTTCTGTTTCTAGTGCATCCTTTCTTCTTTGGTAAGAGACTGGTAAGAACAATTCAGGCAACTCAAAGAGGAACTCAGGTATGGGTTTAAAAAAAAGGAGAGAAATCTAATTCTGAGAATTGGGCTAACCAGTATCAAAGACAATGGCAAATGGCAAATGTGATTTGACAGAAAATCTCACTTTTGAACCCCAGCTTCTTAAATTTCTTCTTGTGTATAATTTGTATTGGTTCTAGGGCTGAGGTTTAGTATTAAGTAGAAAGAAAATAGCTTCAAAATTCAGAAGCTAAAGAAGACACCTATCTCATCTTTAGTTAGTACTTAGAAATTATTTTAGAAAATGATTGCCTCTAGTTGGTTAAGACTGATAATAATAATTGCAATCTTAAGGCTTTGGTTGAGATAGAGTACAAAGATAAGCACATTGACTGGTTTATTTAAACATCCAAACTCTTTAGTTGTGATTTAATTTCTCTTCTTCCCATGGTGATTTAATTCAATGGTAAATATAGAAGAACAAATGTTTTTAAAGTAGTGGTTTAATTTTATTTATTTACTTTTCAGTTTTTTTTTGTAGTTACCTGAGGCGATAATGAATGTCTTGAGTCTTTACTAATGCCTATTTGGCATGGATACTTGTGAAAATTATTGAAAGGTGAACAAGCTCCAATTGATAAATTGTAGGTAATTGTGGAAGATGTTTTTGTTGTGAGATATTAGAAGTGTCATCATTACCAAAAACTGTTCAGTTTTTAGCAGGTTTATGTATTTTGAGTGTATTTTAATATCTGTTGAAACAATATAAAGAATACGGTTTTTTTGTTGTTGTTTTTTTGAGACGGAGTTTCATTGTTGTTGCCCAGGCTGGAGTGCAGTGGCGCAATCTCGGCTCACTGCAACCTCTGCCTCCCGGGTTCAAGCCATTCTCCTGCCTCAGCCTCCCAAGTAGCCGAGGTTACAGGCATGCGCCACCATGCCCGGCTAATTTTGTATTTTTAGTAGAGATGGGGTTTCACCATGTTGGTCAGGCTGGTCTGCAACTCCTGACCTCAGGTGATCCACCCACCTTGGCCTCCCAAAGTGTTGGGATTACAGGTGTGAGCCACTGTGCCTGGCCAAGAATAGGTTTCTAATTAAATATCAGATTTTTAATTAGGTAAATATGAGAAACTTTGTAGAATGGATATTAAACCCATTGCTACTTGTTCTGTATTAATAGTTTTTGAATATTCTAAAAGTATTACATTTAAGAATTTTTAGAAAATTATAGAGGAGCTGATTAAAAAATCATGAATTGGATAATTTCTTCAGGATCCTTACCAAATGTTATGCAAGATTAGTATGTTTTGGGGTTGTGTGGTTATGCGTAGATCTATGTACAATCTTTGTTAGGTTTTTGTGCTAGTTAAAGAGAACTCAGGAAATAAGTTGAGAGTTTTTGTACCCTTGCTCCTTTTTCTGCATTTAGAAGGATCATTAGCAGAGAATAATATGTTCCTCAAGGGTTTGAGAGAGGTCAGTCTTATGAGCAACTGTATTTGATATCTTTTTATTTGTTCCATGTTAACTAATTTTTTAGGATTTTCAAATCTGGCTTGAGTTATTTGGATGATCTGTAGTTTTCTAAAAATGATGTATTGGATGATCTGTGATTTTCTAAAAATGATGTTTTGAATGTTTAGAATGTGTTGCTTTTGAGTTCTTTGTAAATAGTCTGTTAATTTCAGTCTTTAAAATTTTTTCTCTATGGTATTAGCTATTTGTGTTTCTTAGTTTTTTTCTTTTGCTTTGTGTGAGATTTGTCTTTTATGTTTTATTTTTCTTTCTTTTTTTTTTTTTTTTTTTTTTGAGATGGAGTTTCGCTCTTGTTGCCCAGACTAGAGTGCAATGGTGCGATCTCAGCTCACCGCAACCTGCGCCTCCCAGGTACAGGTGATTCTCCTGCCTCAGCCTACCAAGTAGCTGGGATTACAGGCATGCGCCGCCATGCCCAGCTAATTTTGTATTTTTAGTAGAGATGGGGTTTCTCCATATTGGTCATGCTGGTCTCGAACTCCTTACTTCAGGTGATGCGCCTGCCTTGGCCTCCCAACGTGCTAGAATTACAGGCGTGAGCCACCGCACCTAGCCATCTTTCATGTTTTCAAAGAGTTGGCCTTTAGATTGATCAGTTCTAACATTTTACTTGTTATATATTAATTTTAGGTTATTTTCTTCCTTTTTTCCCTGTTATGAAATGTTGCCAGCACACAATATTATATAGAAAACAATGTAATCAACCCGTACTCACAGCCTCACTCAAGTAATAAAATATTGCATATAATTGAAGCCCACTGTGTACCTCTGTCTCCACCAGAGGTAACCACTATTATGAATTTGGTGTTCGTCATTCCTATTCTTGTTTCTGTATTTTCAGTATAGATAGATGTTTTTATAAAGAATATATAGTTTTGCCTGTTTTCAGTCTTTATATAAATGTTATACTGTATGTATTATTCTGAAACTTGGCTTTTTTTCATTCCATAGTATGTTTTTGAGATCTTTCAATTCTGATTTCTATGTTCTAGATTCTTCTTTTTTGTTGTTGTATAAGAGTCCATGGTATGAGGCTGGGCACGGTGGCCCACACTTGTAATCTCAGCACTTTGGAAGGCCGAGGCAGGCGATTACTTGAGCTTAGGAGTTCAAGACCTGCCTGGGCAACATGATGAAACCCCGTCTCTAATCCCAGCTACTCGGGAGGCTGAGGCAGGAGAATTGCTTGAACCTGGGAGGCGGAGGTTGCAGTGTTCCGAGATTGTGCTATTGCACTCCAGCCTGCGTAACAAAAGCAAAAGTCTGTCTCAAAAAAAAAAAAAAAAAAAAAAAAAAAAAAAAATTGGCTGAGCGTGGTGGCATGTGCCTGTAGTCCTGGGCTGGAATGCAGTGGCACGATCATGGCTCACTGTAGCTTTGATCTCCTGGGCTCAAACAATCTTCCCGCCTCAGCCTCCTGAGTACTTGGGAGTTCAGGCACGTGCCCCCATGCCTGGCTGATTTTACATTTTATTTCTAATAGAGAGGAGGTCTTGCTATGTTGTTCAACCTGGTCTTTAACTCCTGAGCTCAAGCAGTCCTACTGCCTTGGGATTACAGGTGTGTTGGGATTATAGGTGTGAGCCACTGTACCCAGCCAATATTTACTTTTAATAATTGCAGAAATATACCTCACAATATAGCTTTGGATTTTATTACGTTTTTTTCTTAGCTTTGTTTTGTCAGTTTTGTGTAATCTGGTATTATTTTTGTTTCTTAATGTATTTTGAATAAATCTAAAAGGTTGAGGCCTTTTGTTTAAATTTGGTTGTTGATTTTTGGCTTTACTGCATTTTGTTATATGCCTCAAATTATTTCCAGTTTTTGGAATTTGAGAGTTGATCAGTGAATGCTCTGAAAGCTGTTGTATTTGCTAGGTAATATTTATCCATTCAATATGATTCAAAGTTGTTCTTTAAAAGATTATTGATCTATCATATGTTGTTGGTGGCAGGGTAATGCCTCTTTCTGTCATTTTATAACTCAATCTTCTCCTTATAATCTTTTTTTTTTTTTTTTTTGAGATGGAGTCTGACTCTGTTACCTAGGCTGGAGTGCAGTGGTGTGGTCTTGGCTCACTGCAAACTCCGCCTCCTGGTTTCAAGCGATTCTCTTGCCTCAGCCACCCGAGTAGCTATGATTACAGGTGTGCACTACCACATCCGGCTAATTTTTGTATTTTTGGTGAAGACAGGGTTTCCTATGTTGGTCAGGCTGTTCTCGAACTCCTGACCTCAAGTGATCCGCCCACCTTGGCCTCCTAATGTGCTGGAATTACAGTCGTGAGCTACCATTCACAGCTATTATAATCTAATACTTTTTACCGATAAATTTTTATATTGCCTACATTTATGAATGTTATGTTTTTATTATGTATGGATACTTTTATAAAATGTCCTTGTTTTACCACTTCATGCCCATCATCATGACAAAATTCTAAGGTCTGGTAACATTAAGTATAGTCAAGGTTTGGAAGAAGTAGGAACTCTCAGCGCTACTGCTGAAAGAGCTTATTGGTAAAAATTATATATAGGAATTTGGTAGTATTCTGTAAAGCTGAAAATATGTGTGCTCTAACCTTCTTCTACTTTTAGGTTTGTTCTTCACAGAAACTTTTGAACTCATATTCAACAATATTTATTGTGGTTTATTTTGTAATCACACACAATTGTAAATAGTGTAAATGCCTACAAAGAGGAGAATGGATTACACACTGTGGTGTATTTATATGCTGCAATGCTGTATAACAGTTAAGATGAATAAGATTGATCTAAATTATCAACATGGTATGTGCCTGTAGTCCCAGCTGCTCAGGAGACTGAAACGGGAGGATTGCTTGAGTCTGGGAGGTCGAGGCTGCAGTGAATCGAGATCACACCACTGCACTGCAGCCTGAATGGCAGAATGAAACTGTCTGAAAAAAAAAAATAGTAAAAAATTATCCACATAGTTAGATCTGAAAAACATATGGGCAATATGATACTTTATAGGTAAATATTAAATTCATTTGACAGTATAGCGTAGTGTTTATGAATATATTTAATACATATAAAGTGTAGAAACATGAACTGAAATGATAGCGTGAAATTCATGATAGTATTTGTCTCTGGGGAGAGAGTGAGAACAAAGGAAGTGTCAACTTTATCTTAAAAGTTTATCATTCATGAATAAGAAGAAACATCTGAAATGTAAGTATTTTTTGGAATATTCCTAGAATTCAAGATTCATGAAGAAGGAATATCTGAAACATAAATTAATATCCTTTGGAATATTTCTGGAATTCAAGAAGTGCTGTCACTTTTTAGTCCTTGCCTCCAGCTTGTGAGATTATGGTTGATCATCTTAAAATGTTTTTTGTACTGTTCTATATTTTCTGTATTCTGCATAGTGAAACATGTTTCTCTGTTATGATCAGAAAGCAAGCTTTAACTTGAAAAAACCCAGTTGTCTTTTGAGTGGGACACTTAAATTCCATTTTGGCCAGTATTAAAATTGCCCAGTGTATTGACTCTTTTCTCTGCTATATAATTGCTAATCTCATTAAGCTTTTCCTCCTCTATTTGGCTTTTTCAAAAGATAATTCAACACATTGTCATAAATCTTACATATTGAGTTTACTTTTCTGTTTTATAGGTTAAAGAAGAGATGCTATTTGAAGCACTAGTTACAAGGAAGACGGTGACAGTGGGAGAAAAGCTTATTTTGCCATACAAGTTGGCAGAGGTATGATGAATTTTCTATGAAATGAAAGCATTCTGGACATTGTTAGAAGTTTAGGTTTGAAGTTTGGGTTTTCTCAACAGCAGGAAAATGACAAGGGCAAAAAGTTTTCATTGAAATATTTTCTAGGCCTTTAAATTTGATTGTGAATTTTCCATTGATTTGGAAACTTAAATTTGAATGTGATTGTGAGAAATAGGCTTGCATTTTTCTCCAAGGATCTTAACCTCTTCATCATTTCTAACTTTCATATTACTAATGTGGGGTAGATAGATGGTAGATTAGAATTATAAATGAGCAGTATTTGACCCAATTAATTATTATTCTTGAGACAGTTTCTTCTAGCACATCATACTTTTTTGGTTAACTTTTTCATTGTTGGCTACTTGTTTGCAGTTCTTTCTGCTTGTCTTTTCTTTTTTCTTTATCTCTAAAAGGTGGAGTACCCTAGGACACAGTCTTTGTTTCTTCTTCTCTATATTCTTCATTGAGGTTATCTTACCCAGTCCCATCACTTTAAATATCATCTGTATACTGAGGCTTCTAGGTGATATTTGTTGCTACTATTATACCACTCAGATCTGTAGGGGTAGGAAAATTATTGAAAAGCCACTACTTTATGGAGTAATTTTATGAAAGTGATGACAAATCAAATTATGATAATTATAAAAATTGGACAGGAATATGAAATTAGAATATTAGAAGACAGAGGTGAGGAAATTGTGATTGAATTCTAGAGAATGTTTTTTAAGCTTGACATTGATCCATTTGTCTCATCTTCTGTGTCTCCAAGTCCACATTTCTTCTTACGTCATATTATAGTCTTCCACTTTGAGAGCTTCTTTCTAAACAATAAGAAAGCCAAATCTTTAAGAGTTTTATATTTCTTTTATGTAAAATAAAGATTCATTGCTTTTTACATTTTATTTCACTACCTTTTTCTTTTTTTAAAAATTTAACTTTAAGTTCTGGGGTATATGTGCAGGTTTGTTATATAGGTAAACTTGTGTCATGGGGGTTTGTTGCAGAGATTATTTCGTCACCCAGGTGTTAGGCCTAGTACCCATTAGTTATTTTTCCTGATCCTCTCCCTTCTCCCACTCTTTATCACCCCTTGTATGTCTCCGTGTGTTCTCATCATTTAGCTTCCACTTAGAAGTGAGAACATGCTGTGTTTGGTTTTCTGTTCCTGCGTTAGTTTACAAGGGATTATGGCTTCCAGCTTCATCTATATTCCTGCAAAGGACATGGTTTTCTTCTTGTTTATGGCTGCATTGTATTCCATGGTGTGTAAGTACCACATTTCTTTATCCAGTGTGTCATTGATGAGCATTTAGGTTGATTCCATGTCTTTGCTCTTGTGAATAGTGCTGCAGTGAGCATATGCTTACATGTGTCTTTATGATAAAATGATTTCTGTTCCTTTGGATATATGCCCAGTAATTGGATTGCTGGGTCGAATAGTAGTTTTGCTTTTAGGTCCTTGAGGAATTGCCACACTGTCTTCCCCGATGGTTGAACTAATTTACACTCCCTCCAACAATGTATAAATGTTCCTTTTTATCCGCATCCCCACTAACATCTGTTGTTTTTCGACTTTTTAACAATAACCATTGTGACTTGTTTCATTGTGGTTTTGATTTGCATTTCTCTAATGACCACACCACCTTTTTCATTACAAAATTTTTTTAAATATTTATTTTTATTTTTAACTTTAAATGTAACCTTCTGAGATTGTTTTGTATTCCCAGCTTTGTTTTTGTTTATGTTTGTTTGGTGTATTTATTTCTTTTTTTTTGAGATGGAGTCTCACACTGTCACCTGGGCTGGAGTGCAGTGATGTGATCTTGGCTCATTGCAACCTCTGCCTCCCAGGTTCCAGTGATTTTCCTGCTTCAGCCTCCCGAGTAGCTGGCATTACAGGCACCCGCCACCATGCCCAGCTAATTTTTTGTATTTTTAGTAGAGACGGGGTTTCACCATTTTGGTCAGACTGGTCTTGAACTCCTGACCGTGTGATCACCTGCCTCGGCCTCCCAAAGTGCTGGAATTACAGGTGTGAGCCACCGCGCCCGGCCGTTATTTCTTTAATAAAAATTTCAGCCCCTTAATCTCAAGCACTGAAATTGAGATATCCATTGGGGTATAATGTGTCATCTGAGGTTTGAGGTTCTCTTCCAAGTTCACAGGTGGTTGACAGGATTCAGTTCCTTGTGATTCTAGGACTGAGGCACCTAGTTTTCTGTTGTTGTTGGATGTCAGTCAGGGACCATTCTCAGCAATTAGAGGCTGATGTGATTTTTTGCCATGTGACCCTGCCTGTAACATGGCAGTTTGCTTCTTCAGGCTCAGCAGGAGAAGCTCTATTTACAGCAGAACTCAAATCCCTTTTGAAGAGTTTTTTCTGATTATGTCAGTCCTATCCAGGATGATCTCCCTTTGATTAAAAAATCAATTGGTTTGGGTTTTTATATCTTTAAAATCCCTTCATTTTTATCATGTAACATCAGGTTCATATGGGAGTGGAATCCATTGTATTTACAGTTCTGCCTACACTTACGAGGAGGGAATTATACAGAACTTGTACTCCCCAGGGGATGGGAATCTTGTGGGCTATCTTGGGTTTTGGTCAAACACAGAAGTCAGGAGTGGATGTAGAGAGATGAGTTCAGAGGCTGCAATAGTGAGAATGATATTTGCTTTGTAGAATGGTGACATATTGACAGGGAGAAATGTATGGATTTAAAAGAAAAAAAATTGATGACTAAATCAACAGGACCTGGTAATGACTTGAATAATGGGAAGCAAGGCAAACAAAGGAGGTGTCAAGGATGAGTCCTACATTTCTGGTTTACACAGCTGTAAGAATATTGGTACCCTTCAATGAGATAGGAAACACTAAATGAGGTCTTGTTTGGGTGGGAAAATATTACTTGGTATTTGAGTTTGCTGAGGTTAAGCTATGAAAGACAGACATGCGTTTCAGAGAAAAGGGCTGGAAGTATAAAATTTGGAGTACAAAGTAAATAAATAGGTATTGTATTGGCATATCTGGATTCTATAACTATGGTATGTTATAAAAAGGGTACATTATGTAAACCATAGTGTAGTTAGACTTTAGTTTTTATCTTTGTCTGAATGTCTGTCTTTTAAATTCAACTCATTTATAAAATTTATTGTGATAATGTTTATATGCTTATTCTGTGTCTTATATTTGTTGATTTAGTTTTCAAATATTGTACTTTCCCTGAATTTTATCAGATTATCTTCATTTTTCTTTTCTTTCTAGGGGAAAAATACAGTGGTATTCTATTATATTTTCATTCTACCATTGGTTTTCTTGATAGTTGGTTCACCTTACGCTCAGATTCCATATCCAAGGATTCAACCATTTGCAGATTAAAAATATTCTAAAACTGCACAACAATAAAAAATAATACAGGTTTCTGGTGTTGAAGATAGAGAATTTGATACCAATCTTCTCTCTGCTATATAGGCAGTTATTTTTTGGTCTAGGAACTGGAAGCTTCTTTTTCCTTCAGTATTCAGAAATTAATTCATCACCTGTGTGGTAGGTTGTAGTATTACCTTCTTTTTACAGATGTATAAGCAGTAGCCTAAGAGGTTAAGTAACTTAGTCACGATTATGCAGCTAGAATAAGTAGAAAAACTAGAATTGGAAGATAGTCTAGTTCTTAATCATTACTCTCTATTTTCTTTATACTTCAAAACAGAGTTATAAATATATGCCTGAATATACAAGCTTCAAAATAAACCCCTAGATAATAAATATGTAAATTGCTAGGATTTATATTCTTCTAAGTGCCAAGACTCAATTCTGTAAGACATGTGCCCTACCCTACTCCTCCCCCCCTTTTTTTTTGTAAATTTATGCTTTCTAAATGGTGAAATTCTTGTTTTTTTAAGAACAATTTCAGACTTACAGGAAAATAGAGCAGATAGTATAGAGAATTGTCGTAAACTTGGAAAGCTTAGAGTGAGGAAAAAATAAATTTTGTAACTACATAATGAAGGAATTGTTTCTGTCCTCAAGGATGGAGTAATTCTAGGAGTTTCTATGGGTGACAAGCTGAAGACAACTATCAATGTAATTGTGGTTGTATTAGTGTATGTTTTAAGAGGGTGATTTGGATCCCACAGAAATTAATGGCTGTTTGCTAACAGATTTGTTCCTCTGCCTAGAATACTCTTACCCACTTTAACTGGCAAAGTCATTTGTTTGTAAACTTCCAATTATACCTTCTTTCCTAGGGGGAATATATATCCCAATTTTTAGTAAACATGTTTTGAGCTGGGTGACCTACATTTTGTTTCTCTTATCTTTAATCGCAGTTTTGGCCTAGATTCTCTGAGTGGGACTAATTGAATGAGTACATATGGAAAACTTCAATTGACTGGGTGCGGTGGCTCACGCCTGTAATCTCAGCACTTTGGGAGGCCGAGATGGGTGAATCACCTGAGGTCAGGAGTTCGAGACCAGCCTGACCAACATGGAGAAACCCTATTTCTACTAAAAATACAAAATTAGCCAGGCATGGTGGCGTGTGCCTGTAATCCCAGCTACTTGGGAAGCTAAGGCAGGAGAATCACTTGAACCCAGGAGGCGGAGGCTATGGTGAGCCGAGATTGCGCCATTGCACTCTAGCCTGGGCAACAAGAGCCAAACTCTGTCTCAAAAACAAACAAACAAAAAACTTAAGTTATAGTTTTTTTATTTTGAGAGAAAAATTAGTTTCTAATTCAGAATAGTAAGTTTCTTTCTTGAATGGGAGCAAAAAACTTTGTCATGGTATCTTAATCATATCATTGTCAATTCTACATGCACTTGTAATCCTTTTGTTTTTCAGGCTGTGACAGTGAGGAACTCCATGGCTAAGTCTCTATATAGTGCCCTGTTTGACTGGATAGTTTTTCGAATTAATCATGCACTTCTGAATAGTAAAGATTTAGAGCATAATACTAAGGTAATGATATATTAGATTATAATGTTTTTCCCTAAAAGCTATTTTAGTAAACTGGTTAATACATGAAATTTAAAAACACAGAATTATATAGAGTAATAAGTAAGAAATCACTGTTACTCATTATTTATTACCCTGTTCAGAAGAATTGTTCTGTGTGTCTTTCCAGACCTTTTTTATTATGTGTTTTTACCTCCCAAACATGTATATTCAGAGTTGCTTTAAAAAATGTAAATAGAATCATGCTCTCTGTATTCTTTCAAACATATATATATATATATATATTTTTTTACCTAGAATCTCTTGAAATATTTTCTGTCTCATTATATATCTGGACCTGGCTATTTAAAAAAATGTTTTAATATAAATACATAATAAGATGTGTACCATAAATCCATCCATTAAAAATAGATTATTTTTGTTTTATTGTTATAGATAATGCTGTAACAAATATTCTTTTACTTACCTGTGTATTCATTTCTCTAGGATAAAATTATCAAAGTGGGATTGCTGTCTTTGTTTGTTTGTTTGTTTGTTTAAGATGGTATCTCGCTCTCACCCAGGCTAGAGTGCAGTGGCATGGTCTCGCTACAACCTCTGACTTCCAGGTTCAGGCGATTCTCCTGCCTCAGCCCCCTGAGTAGCTGGGATTATGGGTGCCCAGTATCACATCCAGCTCATTTGTGTATTTTCAGTAGACACAGGGTCTCACCTTGTTGGCCAGGCTGGTCTTGAACTCTTGACCTCAGGCAATTCACCTGCTTCGGTTTCCCAAAGTGCTGGGATTATAGGCATGAGCCACCATGCCCTGCTGATTGCTGAGTTTAAGGATAGATACATTTTAAAAATTGGCCACTTTCCAAAAAAGACTATACATTTCCAGCAGCAGTGTGTGAAAGCACCTGATCCCCTACACCTTTACCCACATTGGATGTTATCAGTATTTAAATTCTCCTAATCTGATAAGGGAATGGTCATTTTATTGCATTATTTTTAATGATAGATAAAAGTTCAGCATCACCTTATGTTTTCTCTATTTTATTTATTCTCTATGTTTTTAAAATATCTTTGTGTTATTTTTGTTTTTTATTTTGTCTTTTTGATACTCCTTTTATTTTTAATTTAATTTTATTTTTGAGACAGTGTCTCACTCTTTTTGCCCAAGCTGGAGTACAATGGTATGATCTTGGCTCGTTGCAACCTCCGTCTCCTGGGTTCAAGTGATTCTCCTGCCTCAGCCTCCCAAGTACCTGGGATTACAGGTGCTCGCCACTAGTTTTTGTATTTTTAGTCAAGATGAGATTTCACCATGTTGGCCAGGCTGGTCTCAAACACCTGACCTCAAGTGACCTGCCCTTCTTGGCCTCCCAAAGTGCTGGGATTACAGGCGTGAGCCACCATGCCTGGCCTACTCCTTTTTAGAAGGCATTTATTGTGGATATTTGTGGAGGCCTATAGTTTGATATATATTGCAATTATTTTCTTAGTTATTTACTTTTTAGATTTATTTATAATATCTGTTTTTGTGATTTTATGTTGTAATTTTTTTGCAGTTAATTCTGTCATTTTTCTTGTTTTTAGTTTTGCATTTTGTATATGTATTTTACTTATAGAGGAAGGCCTCTTCTAGCCCAAGATTGTAAAATATTTATTCTTATATTTTTATAATTATAATTTTTTATGTTTAGACTTTTTCTAACTAGAATTTATTTTTAATGTGGCAGATGATAGGTATTTAATTTCACATCTAGTTGTATTTTCTGGGCAGCCTTCATGGACTAGTCCACCTTGTCAGACTGATTAAAAATGTCATCTTTTTAATTTAATCATATTGCCTTAAATGTGAAATTGCTCTTATGTTAATTTTTCATGCTTCAGGTAAACTCACAGTCACAAAAATTAATTTAAATTGTAATCTAATTTGTCAAATTGATATATTTTCGAAGGACATTATTTTAATTTTTTTAAGGGCCTAAACTTGGCAGAATTAAACAAAATAGTACAGGCTTTAAAAAAAATCTTACTATTTATCATTCATTATATCAGTTTTCCCATTGTATCTCTTAGCACCAGTGGAGAAAAATTATTTTCATTTAACCAAAATTGTCATACAACTGTATTTCTAGAATGGGTTGGGGTCATGAGAAAAGTGTTTATATGCAGGTATTAGAGCCAAATCCACAGTAAGAAGTTAGCTTATTCCTAGAAGTGAACTAGAAGAATAAGCATTTGTGTTCTGTATTCTACCAAACAGCTGAAAGATTTGAATGTGGTTGACTTTAGGGAGCACACCTTGATGAGGCAGGGATTGCTGTCTTTCGTTATAATCCTTTTAGCACTATTCAACATTTTAAACCTCATACTTTTTTTTTAAATAAATATTTTTAACTTTATGAAACCATATGTTCTGGCTGAGTGTGGTGGCTCACGCCTGTAATCCTAGCGCTTTGGGAGGCCGAGGCGGGTGGATCACCTGTACTCAGGAGTTTAATACCAGACTGGCCAACATGGTGAAACTCGTCTCTACCAAAAATACAAAAAGTTAGCCAGGAGTGATGGTGCATGCCTTGGTAAACCCAGCTGCTGGTGAGGCTGAGGCAGGAGAATCGCATGAACCCCGGTGGCAGAGGTTACGGTGAGCTGAGATCACGTCACGGTACTCCAGCCTGGGCGACAAATCGAGACTCCGTCTCAAAAAACAAACAAAAAAAAGAAACCATACGTTCTGACATCTAGTTTCACTCAGTCTTCATGAGGCTTAGAAAATATACTAGTTTGGTTCTTAACGAAGAATTCTATTTATTGGAATGTAGAAGTCAAAATAGGAAAAATTGCATCGTCTTCTTGATATAGCCAGGAGTAACCTGCCTCTCTTGATCCTTCATTTAAATAACCTTTTGATTTCCCCATACTCTGTTTTTTTCCATTCCCTTTTAGATCTTAGGGATTTCTAAGGTTTCTTAAGATAACAGGCCATTAACCTTGCTTCACACATTTCTGTAATCTATAGATTATATGTATTAACGGTTTGGATGTATTTTTTAATTAGGACAAAAGTAAGATAAAGAGAACTGGAATACTTTTAATTCATGATATATTTTGAATACTGACCAAACACAATCCCCTGTGTACTGCTTTAGAGGAATTGAGCATTTTGTTACTCATGTTGTGGATACTTTTCATGAAATAAATTTAAACATGACTTTTAATCAAAACTTTCTCTTGTTTTACAGACATTGTCCATTGGTGTTCTTGATATTTTTGGGTTTGAAGATTATGAAAATAACAGCTTTGAACAGTTCTGTATTAATTTTGCTAATGAACGTTTACAGCACTACTTTAATCAGCATATCTTTAAATTGGAACAAGTGAGTACCTAAATATGTATACACTTGTTCCCCCATCATGCATATCTTTCAGTCATACTCATAATAATTCACTTTATTTTTTCAGACATTTTATTGATTTACATAGTATTTCTATTAAATATTGAAACCTGCCTTTACAAACAAGAATAACAGATGTAAATTGGCTTGGGAAGAAATACCGTTGGCTCTTTGTATATGTAAACTCAACTGATGGGGTTAGAAATGTGTAAGATACAACAGAGTAGTCTGGTAGCTTCAATTGTTTATCATAATATCAGTTATAATATTTTATTAAAAGAATGGAAAGCACATAATAAGCATTTTAAATCTTGTCTTTCAATACAAATATTGTGGTCCACATATCATTGTAAGCAGATGACAAAGGTTTTATAGTCCCCGAAATAGTTTTGCTGGCTGGGCGCGGTGGCTCACAGCGATAATCCCAGCACTTTGGGAGGTCAAAGTGGGTGGATCTCTTGAGTCCAGGAGTTAGAGACCAGCCTGGGCAGCATGGCAAAACCCTGTTTCTACAAAAAATATAAAAATTACCCAGATGGGGTATTGCATGCCAATAGTCCCAGCTACTCAGGAGACTCAGGTTGGGGGATCACCTGAGCCTGGGAGATGTAGGTTGCAGTGAGCTGTGTTCGAGTCACTGCGTGCCAGACTGGGCAACAGAATGAGACTGTCTCAAAAAAAAAAAAATTGCTTATATATGCTTATTTGATTGCACCTTTGTTGTTTTTGCAGGGGTGTATGTTTTTTAGAAATGGGTCTTCTTGCTCTGTCACCCAAGCTGAAGTACAGCGGCTTGATCTTGGCTCACTCTGTCGACCTCTGGGGCTCAAACAGTCCCCCCACTTCAGCCACTCAAGAGCTGGGACCACAGGTGCACGTCGCCACACCCAGCTAATTTTTGTTTTTATTTTTTATAGAGACAAGGTGTCACTATGTTGCTCAGACTGGTCTCAAACTCTTAGGCTCAAGCGATCCTCCCCCCTTGACCTCCTAAAAATGCTGGGATTTCAGGCACAAGCTACCACGCCTGGCCTTGAATGAACCTTTGAATAAAAAGATGTGTGTGTTTGTTTTGTTTTGCTTTTATTGCTGGTGTTGATTGTTTTTTTCTTTTCTTTTTTTTTTCTTTCACACAGGAGTTTAGGAACAATGGTGTTGAGTTTTAATTGCTACCTTGGGCTTGGTCACTGTGTGTAATGCTAAGTACAGTCAGTCAGTCCTCCTTATCTTTGGGTTTTACATCCAAGCATTCAACCCATGGCTGATACAAAGCTACTGATACAAACCTGCAAATACAGAGGGCTGACTGTACTAAGCCACTTTATATTAGAAATTTGAGCATCTGTGGATTTGGTATCCACAGGGGGTCCTGGAGCCAATCCCTCGAGGATATGGAGGGCCAACTATATGCTTGTTTGATTGCTTTGGTCTCTTAGTTCTAGGATGGGATAGAGGAGCTTATTAACAGAATCTCAAGTCAATACAGAGTGTAGATACAAAGAAACTAGGTATGGAGAGACCAAGATGGGTAACTAGATATTTCTTATGAGAATCTCAAGATTGATTAAGTTAGTATAAAAAGAGTGTGCTTTCGGCTGGAAGCGGTGGCTCACACCTGTAATCCCAGCACTTTGGGAGGCCGAGGTGGATGGACGAGGTCAGCAGTTTGAGACCAGGCTGACCAGCATAGTGAAACCCCATCTCTACTAAAAATACAAAAATTAGCCGGGTGTGGTGGTAGGAGCCTGTAATCCCAGCTACTAAGGAGGCTGAGGCAGGAGAAACGCCTGAACTCGGGAGGCGGAGGTTGCAGTGAGCTGAGATCGTGCCACTGTACTCTAGCCTGGGCGACAGAGTGAGACTCCGTCTCAAAGAAAAGAGTGGGCTTTCAGTTTCCATGAGAATTATTGGGGTAAAGGGAGGGTCAAACAAAATGTGGACTTTTTCTCCAAACTGAGGTTGAAATCAGTAATAGGTTTACATTGTACCCCAGAATTTGTGTGTGAGGACATAGGCAGACACAGGTTTCATCAAACTGAACTCAAGGGAAATGGTTAAGAATAGAGAATGAACAGAAAGACTACAGCAGCTAGCAGGTCTACAGAAAAGGGGGAGAAAAGATCTTTACATCATCAAGTCTCCCATCATTGGATCTTGTTGCTCTCTGTCTTAACTTTTTAAAAAAGTGCCTCTATTTTGCTTAAAGGACATAATGGCTGGTTAACAATAACATGACAATATTAGTCCTGGCCAACTTGATGAATGCTTAAAGTTTTAAACATACAACCTTTTAGCTAGATGCTACACTAGAGCTTTGGAAAGATAATATTGTTATAATATTAGCTAACACTTATGAGTTATGTAGTGTTATTTATCAATCAGTACTATTTTTATTCTAGTTTTTCAGATGATGTCTAAAGCCAGTATTCAAACCTTAACACTCTAGCTGTATAATATTTTCTTTTAACCAAAAGCTAAGCTGGGATTGCCATCCATGTCTCTTGATTCAGTCCAAGACTCTTACTTAAATCATACTAAATTAATATTCTTTATCTCTTGCAGATAAATATATGTGTTAAAAGGGTGAGGGAATGCATTTTGTTGTCTGGGTTCTATATTTTACAGAGCAGAACATCAATTGCTCTGTGGATCATTAAACAGAACGTTGGTTAAGTTGCTTTTGAAAAAAGACAAATATTCTTTATTGTAAATTGAAATTATTCTTTTCTAGAAGTCTAGATTAGACAGCCAACCAGAAGAAATGCCTTGGCCATAAATGTATTATATAAAAATAAAAAACCTTAGAGTTTATGGAAAATGTGTTCAAAACTACTTGAAAGATGGGTGATTCTCATTTACTTGCTACCCTGAATATCAATGTTTTGGGCAATGTGGTGCAATTATGGATCAGAATCTTGTCAAGTGTCTTATTTATATGTACCTCATTGGTAACTGGTATGAAATGGGTACTCAGTGACTCAGTGATTACTTGTTAAGTTCAGTTGAGTATAAAATCAGTTAAGGTTAAAATATTTAAAAAGAAGATATAGTATCATGGGTACGTTTGTAGGAAAAATCTTCAATATGATGACTGTGGTTTGGTTCTAAATTTTGTCCAAAAGGAGTACATAGGCATGTAGGATGGGAAAGAGATGTAATAATTGCCATGCAGGATGTAAATGCTGAAATCAGATATAAGGTAAAGTAGTTACACAAAGGATGAGGTTGACTGGAACTACCTGAAAGCTGCAGAAATTTTCCAGGGTTGATTCTGGTATATAGCTTCAAATAGTGAGCTGGAGCTCACTAGATTGTCAATGGGAAAATATATTTTAGGCAAAGGTAACACACACATTGTACTTAAAACTGTGGACTTACATGTCGTGCAGAGAAGATTAGAATTTTTCAGACAATGAGAAGCTATTTGAAGTATATTTAGCAGAGGACTTGAATTGGACTGAAGAGCAGTGAACTGGAAAGAAGGAGAAAAATCTATGAACTAGTTGAGGTACTGTCATGTGTCACTTAATGATGAGGATGTGTTCTGAGAAATGCATCACTGGGTGATTTTGCTGTTGCATGAACATCATCCTGTATTTACACAAACCTAGGTGGTATAGCCTACTACACACCTAGGCTATATGATATAGCCTGTTGTTCCTAGGCCACAAACCTATACAGCGTACTACACTGAATATTGTAGGCAGTTGTAACACAGTGGTAAGTATTTGTGTATCTAAATGTATCTAAACATAGAAAAGATACAGTAGAAATACAATATAAAAGATAAAAAATGGTACAGTTACATAGGGTACCTACCATGATTAGAGCTTGCAGGAGTGGAAGTTACTCTGGGTGAGCTGTTGGGTGAGTGGTGATAAAGGCCTAAGACATTACTGTACACACACTAGTTAGACTTTATAAACACTGTACACTTAAGTTACACTGTTTATTTATTTTTTTCTTTTTGTAATAATAAATTAACCTGAGCCCACTGTAATGTTTTTACTTTATAAACTTTTTTTGACTTTTTGACTTTTGTAGTAGCAATTTAAAACACAAACACATTGTACAACTGTGCAAAAATGTTTTCTCTTTATATAATTATAAGCCCTTTATTAAATTTTTTTAAAACTTTAAAAACATTTTTGTTAAAAGCAAAGACACGTACATACATATTAGCATGTATACATACATATTACCATATTAGCATGTATACATACATATTACCATAGCATATTAGTATAGGCCTACACAGGGTCAGGATCAAGATGTCGGTAGATAATACGAATTTTTCATGAGATTAGGGATCACTGTTGTATATGCAGTTGGTCCTTGACTGAAATGTTTTTGTGTGGCACACGACTGTAAAATGGGTGAGTGATTCTGAACTGAATCAAGGTAGTGGTAGAGCCTATAATGTAGACTAAGAGACAGACCCAAAGAGGTTTCTGATATTTAAAAGTACAGCTATCCCTGCATATCCACAGGGGATTGGTTTAGGGACCCCCTGCTGAAGAGTACTAAAATCCACAGGTGCTCAGGTCCCTTATGTAAAATAGCACAGTATTTGCACATAATCTATACACATTCTCCAGTATACTTTAGATCATCTCCCAGTTTCTTATCCTTAATACATTGTAAATGTTATGTAAATAGTTGCTATACTGTTTCATTTCTAAGTTTATATTTTTTATTGTATTTTTTTTCTAAATATTTTTAATATGTGGTTCGTTGGATCTACAAATGTGGAATCTTTTGCAGATATGGAGGGCCAATTGTATGTTTTCTGTTATTTGTATTACTGCCCTCTTTTTTCTTTACTTGCTGAGAATTATTCTTCATTTTATTGATTCATGAGTAAATTGAACAACAGTTGTGTGCCAGACAATGCGCTAAGCATAGAAGATAGAAAATTTACAGTGCAGGGATCTTATTTGAGGAGCTCATAATCTAGCAAGTTTTTGTTTCATCCATTTTAC